GCCCTTGTTTTGCATTTCACATCCTTGGTTCTTGTAATGAATGATAAATGATAATGATGTAACATGGTCTAAATTCATGCCAGAATTGCTCATTTGCTAAGTAATAGAAATTCCCTTTCTTTTGTTAGATGTCCTGTATTTTAATGCATTATCTTGCATCTCCCACATGTAAGAAAATTTAAGCAACATTGTAGGTAATTCGGTGATGAGTTTTGTTAATTTGTAGGTTTTGAATTATTTGAAATTATTGACGCCCTTCTTTTTTCAATTGACAACAATTCACATAACTATTTTAGTAATCCACAGTAATGTTTCTCTTTATATGTACTATTCATTAGGCAAACCTTTCTTTGCTCTCTAATGCACAAGTCAGTAGAAATATTCCTTCGTCAATGCATGTGCTCATAGAATCCCCGTCCATTTCAGTCTAGTAAAAAGTGATGGTTTTTGCAAACTAGTTATTCCTAGTATCTTCAACCATAAAGCTATTTTCTCCTATGTTGAATGAACCCCTAAATACCACTTCATTTTTTGCGTAACTTTGTGGCAGAGAAAAAAATTCAAGATCGTGTTCACTTTGTTAACAAAACCCTTAATGTAGCTCCTTATCTTGTGTCCATTGATGTTCTTGTTTAGAACTCCCAGGTACTTTTGCTGAATTACGGTGTCAGTTCACATTGCAAGCATTACTTTATTTATTCATTTTTCCATTTTTTCTAGGAGTCATAGTTTATAAAAATAAATTCAGTAAAGGAGTGTCACCTGTATACACTTATTTTTTCTTTCAGTTTGACATTCTACTTCTTCGTTTTAGTAGGATTCATTTACCTTTTAACTAATATCACTCCTTTGCCTTTTTTACTTCAGTCATCTTTATTCATGCTTACTAATAGCATGACAATTGATCTATGAGTTGACAGTAGAAAGAACTATTTGGGTCATTTAATTCAAATTCTGACCTTCTCGGATTTTTTTCATGATCTTGGAAAATGATGAGAGGTTCATAAAGCTGGTTCATTCATTTGCAAAACAAGAAGTATATAATAATTGACAAGTCAGAAGGGAAAAATGTGAAAATGAGAAAACAAAAAATAATAAAATAAAAAACCATGAACATCTTTCCACAACCGAATTCACATTGACCTTGTTCGGTTTATTACCTGTAATTCTTTAGGAGACGAAGCTTCTGATAGAATTTGATAAATTCAAGTTTCAACCTTCCTTCAACTTTTCTTAGCTCCTCTTTATTAAAACTCAAGTCCTTTTCCTTGGAATCCTTCAGAACACCTTTTATAGTTGATATTGGACTTTCAAGTGTATTGTTAATCTTCACATGATCAAGGATTTCTAGAGGATCTGGTTTGTAATCACTGGCATTCACCTCCTCTCCGCAAACATTAGTAGAATCCAGAGTGACTATGGTACTGACCTTTAGAGAAGTATACTCATCTTGTTGACAATTAGCATCCATGTTCATTCCATGTGTAGAATCCATATTCTCCCTTCCTGTATATGTGGCATGTAATAATGAAATTTAAGGATAAAGTGATCCTTTGAGTGGAAGAAGTTTATTATGATATGAATCAAAAGTGCATCACCACTTTCTAGCCGACATTTATCATTCTTCTGAACTTCTCGTCTCACATCCATATGACCTATTCCTGCACATTTGGCATGGAAATATGAATTGAGATTTCAAAGGGAAGCCAACAGTGGCTAAATCTCATAAAGTATAGGTAAATTACCAATAGATCTTACTTTTGGAACGTATATGATACAGGGAAAAAAGCATAACGTTGGCACCAGTAAATTGAAGAAACACAGATTTTGACTTGAGGGCAGTAGCATATCTTTTGGATGGTAGTGTAAAGGCTTAGGGTTTTGCGAGATGTCATGTTGTGGTAACAAAAGCTTAGAGACTTTCGTATGTGTGTAGTGTTCATTTGGTGATATAATTTAGATTAAAGGAATGACCTTTAGAGAGGCCATTTTGATGCTAAATATTTAAAACAAAGAAAAAGCCAAATAAATTACAGGAGTTAGAGTAAGTGGGGGAAAAAAGGTGAAACTAGAAGCCCGTCCCACTAAATAAATTTGTTGTCTAGTGTCTAAAGGGATTAGGATACCTCTTTGCTGGTGTTAGGGAACTTGGGTTTGCATGAGTTCCAAATGAAACTAATTGTTATCATTTAGGAAAGGAAAACAGTAGCTGAAATTAATAGTGGTTTTCTATACTGTTCTTACTTCACCAAGATTTGATCTTTGTTATTGGTGACTAAGTGAAATTGAAGCTATCTAAATACCTATAGGCTGTAACTATAAGTAGCTCTTTTGTAATTGTTTCACAAAAATGTGATATAAAACCTCCATGTGATAGGAAATATATTTGTTGCCTTTAGATGCACTTAAATGGAAGAAATATTTTCTGTTAAACAACCTAATGGGATGGAACTTTTATTGATCGTGGTACCAAGTAATGTTTCGGCTGGGATTTAATGTTGATGACGCTTAACTTTTTTTTTTTTTTTGGTTATGTGTTTTTATTAATAAGAGATAGATTTACAAAAGGTGCTAAAAGTGGATACAACTCATGTAGAAAGTCCAAGGGAAGCACATGCTATCATCCCATACAAGTACAAGAATCTAGCTAAATCTAAGAAGCATGGATTCTTCTAAAAAGGTTCCATGTCCATGTTGGACATGTGTTGGGCACCCATTCAGACATGCCCTATTATATTTTTAGATGTTTTTAGGTGGATTTTGGACTTTGTGTGTCCATCAAAATATGTAAGTACTATGGAAATTTGTTTGCAAATTTATTAGCCTGATTTGATTAACTGATTGTCATGCATTGTAGATTAGTGAGGAACACTGCAATTACTTCAAGTTCGTAGATGATGATGACTACGACGTGGTCTCCAATGTTGCACCTCTTACATCTATAAGAAGCGAAGAATTTAACGATCCAAGCACAAGGGTTTATGAGATGGATAATGAATTTCAGGAGCATAGTAGAAGGCTTCGAAAGATGGAGAAGAAATTGAATGCCGTGCTTTATGTCATTGTATTTTGTATTGTTTTATATTTTATAATGTAAACTACTGAGTTCATAGCTTTTGGGGAATTTGATGGATGTACTTATGGATTGAATGGACTTGATGTATGTCCTTATGGATTGAATGAACTTTATAACTTTAATGAATTTCTATTTTCAATTACTGTTGATAGGTTGAAATTATTGTTGAATTTGTTGTTGAATTATGATGTCAGACATATATGGATTGAATTATGAATTTCTTATATGGATTGAATGGACTTGTTGAATTATGATGTCAGACATGTTGAATTTATACCAGACATGTTGATTGAATGGACTGAATGGACTTGAATGGACTTGTTGGATTATGGATTATGGATTGAATGGACATGTTGAATTTATGGATTATGATGGACATTATGATTATGAATGGACATGTTGAATTGAATGGATTATATGATGTCGGACATGTTGAATTTATACCAGACATGTATTATTATGGATTGAATGGACTTGTTGGACTTGTTGACTTTATACCAGACATGTTGAATTTCTTGAATTTCTATAATGGACATGTTGAATTATGAAATAATTATTCACCATTGTAATTGAATGGTCATCCTATAAGGAGACTAAAGAAACTTTTACTTTAGTAAATCAAACATGGCATTAAAGAAATCTACTTATCTGTGCATAGATAACATAGCACAACTGATAGTTCCTTCACTTGGCTTCTTTTAAGGTTTTGTTTCAGGTGTTATTATTAGAGCTTGTTGGCTGCTTTCTAACATTACTTTTTTAAGGAAAAGTGGTGTGGTGACAAGGTTTGGCAGTAAAGTGGAAAGGTGGGGAGGTTCATGAGTGTTATGTTTGTCATATCCTGCAAAAGAATTTATTAGAAAAAAGGCACGAGAATCACCATGTTAGTACCCAAACTGTCATTTTTTCCCCAAGAATGTCCATATTATTAATTGATCTAATAAATAACTGCTAACAATTGTTAAATTCAACTCACCATCATCTTCATTCATGAAATGATTAAAACATTTAAACAGAAAATAGAAGGATATAGGTACTTGAAACCCAAAATAAAATTTATTTCTTAAGCTTCAGCTTCGATGGACAACACTGCAAAACTCAATTCCATTAAATTTATTTCTATAACCTCTGTTCAACAATCATCATATTGACCTCAATTTAACTCTTACCATGCTACTTAGACATTCATAATCTATGCTACTTATAGCCAAATGTTACTAATAATATGTAATCTCTTACCCACTACTTAGACATTCATAATCTATAACAACTCCAAAAAATTACATATTATCCAGCAAAAGATTACATATATCCAGCAACAGATTACATATTATTGCCAAATGCTTCATTTTTGACTGCTCAATGCTGCTTCAATAGTGCATAGCCATGCTACTTCATTCTGGACTGCATCATTCTGAAATTCTGGACTGCATCATTCTGAACTTCATGCAATTCTGGACTGCATCATTCTGAGCTTCAATTCTGGAGTGCTTTATTCTGGACTGCATCATTCTGAACTTCATTCTACTGAACCTGTCATTCTGCTTAAAACAATCAACCTATGATTCTGCTTCTGAACCTGTCATTCTACACAAATTGACTGAATCTGAAATTTAGATTAACCTCTTCAGAATCTGAATCTGAAAATTAGATTAACCTGTTCACAATCTGAAATTCAAAATCTGAAATTAACCTGTTCGGAATTTGTTCAAAATCTGAAATTAACCTCTTCAGAACCGGTTCAAAACCTGTTCAAAACCACATTAACCTGTTCAGAACCTATTCAAAACCTGTTCAAAATCAGATTAACATGTTCATAATCTGAAATACAAAATCTGAAATTAACCTGTTCAGAATCTGTACAAAATCTGAAATTAACCTCTTCAGAACCTGTTCAAAACTTGTTCAAAACCACATTAACCTGTTCAGAACCTGTTCAAAACCTGTTCAAAACCAGATTAACATGTTTAGAATCTGAAATACAAAATCTGAAATTAACCTGTTCAGAATCTGTTCAAAATCTGAAATTAACCTCTTCAGAACCTGTTCAAAACCTATTCAAAACCAAATATAATTTGTTCCGAATCTGTTCAAAACCTATTCAGAATCAAATATAACCTGTTCCGAATCTGTTCAAAACCTATTCGCCATTCCTGATTCACTGAAAGATGAGCTTCCAATTTTGTCCACCATTTGCAATGCGCTCTCTTGTGTCCCATCCATACACGAAAAATAATAGGATTGACCTTGCGGCACCTAAAAATACCATAATAACAAAATATCATTAATAAGTTCAAACATAATATAATGAACACCATACAAAAAATTGTACTGGACCATGAAACACATACCCGCTCGTACGTATTGTCTTCCATCCCATCCGTACAACCGAAATTCAACTTATGAGGTTCACATTGAGCCATCTTATGACCCTATAGTAACACACATTGGTGAAAAAGTTTGACAAAAATAAATTCAAGTCTTTTACATACAAGCAGAAAATGAAATTTATACCTGGACTAAAAATTTATACTTTCCATAAACCTCTTGCTTGCCTGGTGATTATCAGCACGTTGGCATCTAAGATGGGGAAACCATGCCATTGAAAGAAGCTTTAAACTGATAAAACCTCCTTCAAACCTTCTCTTTCAGAGTCACATTGATGATTCCTATTGGAGATTTAGGTCGATAATGTTCATCTGTATCCACCTCTTCAATTTCCTGGTATGCACATTGCAGGACATGCGTTCAAACATCAATAAAGAATATGATTTAATGACTTGAAAACTAAAAGCATGGCATATCTTTTAGTTATTGGCTTTTCGCTTGCAAAGATGTGTAGTGTTTTCCATGAATTAGATTCAATAATTAACCATTGGGTGTTAGCTTGAATAGTCCAAATTTCAGCTGTATTGTTACTTGTACCAATGGGATATTCGAAAGCTTAAATGCAGTGACCAGTATTATCTCTGAAGATGCCACCAATGCTTGCTCGACCAGGGTTACCTTGACAAGCACCATCCGTGTCGAGTTTGTTAACCGAGAGTGTGTACTTTAAAAGTGTTCATCAGAATAGAGAGTGCAAACTTAGCAGCATATGATATCTTGTGAAGGTGTAAAGGTTGATTTTCAAGAAGCATTTTATTCCTAGTTGTCCACATTTGCCAAGAGTAAGAAAAGTTTAAGTGAAGCATGATTGGTAAAGTTTAGATTTAGCTGAAATGATAGTGCCACTAGGGAAATAATTGGATTTAAACATCAAAGCCCATAAAGATTCAGAATGTCTCAATAAGTGCCATCCCAACTTCATCATGTAGGGCTGGTTAAGCATCGTTAGGTTTTAATGCCTAATCCTCCATAATTAATAGGGCGACAAACCGTGGACCAAGCTGATGTACTTCGTCGATAATATCCCCAAATGTTGATTTAGAAACTAGTAACCAGTTTCTAGCAATTGATAAATTGAATACATGAATCTACCTAGTTGAAGACAGCAATCTAATTCTGCAGAATATGATACAGTTATTTACAGTTAATCTCATGAGCCACTGCCAGAGAGAGAGAGAGAGAGAGAGAGAGAGAGAGAGATTATGCACAATTTATGTATTAATTAAAAACTTAAATCAAGTATAGTTATGCACAATTTATATATTAATTGCAAACTTTAGTCAATGAATCGAATGTACAAATATTTGTTTGACTAGAAGGGATTAGAAAAGCTTAGTAGGAACCTGTCCAATTAGGGAATATAATACATGGGATTTGGGAGCTTGAACGAGCGGATGGAAACTGATGAACCCAAAAGATTGCTCCATTGGTCTCCAGAGTTGCCCAAAATCCAGTATCCCTCTTCCACCATCTCATTCCTCTTCTTCGACTTGTATATTGTCGCTAGCTTCCCATGGTCCTCAGTTGCTCTGCACGGTTTAAGACACTTGAAATTTAGTAAAAATATGCAACAAAGGAGACCATCTCTAATTTAATATTAAAAATAAAAACCATATTTAAATTGGAGGTTTAATTCCACATCAAAGAAGGCCCATAAAATTTTATTTTTTTTAATTTTTTTTTGTTGATAAATCAGAAGGCTCATCATGTTCACCCTTCCATCATTGAAAATTAATCTGTGGCCCAAAAAATACATTAGACAAGATCATAAGGAAATTGAATTCATCCTATGAGAGGGACAAGTTAGTCACTCTTTAAAAATTAGGCAAAAGTTGCCTTTTAGCATTGAGTAAAATTGAAATAACTTTCTTTATAAAACTAATGCTATTAAAGCAGATGAATATATTCTATAGACCATCACATCAGTGTAACATTTGAGGTACAAATTTCATAATGAGTAGTGACAATTAACTAGCTCCTAATATCAAATCTTCTAGGAAAAAATTATTACTGTTTGATCACACAAGGTAGGACTGTAAAGGAATTGGCTATGGGCTAGCTTTAGTTGAGCTGAATTCAATTGAAGAAGAAACAAATCAGATTGGAATTTAATTTACATCATTAATTTGGCCGTTAATTCAACAATTACTGCCACATTCATGAGTCTAGATTTGGTTTGCGATATATTTTCAATAGGACTTGACAGAATTATCAAGTCACAAGAACCAAAGAACGAAAACAAGGATGTTTGTGTGTAAAAAAAAAAAAATCAAGTATGCATTTTCCCATTTGTACAGTGCATGCATGCACAAGCAGCGATAGATGCATAACTAGATTGAGGTTTTATTCACTGAATTAAAAAAATATCCTATTTGATTCTTTTGTCAATGGACATATTACATCACATATGCCACTGGAAGGAAATACTGCAATGTTCCTCAATTTCTAGTTATTTATCAGAATATCTAATATGTATCATAAAATACATATCAAAAGTGTATATGATATACACTATTTGAAATGTATATGTCATAACATGAAAATAAAGATGTGTATTATAGCATAACCCTTCCCTTTGTTTTGTTTTATCATTAGAAACACTACAAGAAATTTTAGTTTTAGTGGTGTTTTTTAAAATGTCGCTAAAAGCCTGAAAAACGCTGTAAAATATTACAACAATGTTTAAAATTTTCGTCGTTGATATGACCGCCGCAATGGCTTTACAACGTTTAAAAACCGTCATTAAAATTATTAGACGGTGTTTTTTAAAATGCCGCAAAATCTTTTACATCTGCTTCCATTTCCATCACAAACTAACGCATGACGTCATTTAGTGGCGTTCTAAATGACGTTTTTTGAAAAAACGCCACTTTTTTTTTCTCCCTGATTCTGAAATATGAGAAAAATTACAATCACTATTTTGTCCAAAGCGTAGCATTTCAGAAGATATGCACTGAAAGATTCAACACAATTATGAGGCCCCGTTTGCCAAGATTCTAAAATATAGTACAAGCCAAAGAATTTAACTAAAGAAGGCAGCTTGATGTAATAACAAACAAATCTAAGCCAAATAGGTGCAAAAAAATATTTAAACTAAATAAGTCCAAAAAAACAACAAAAATTTAATGCCTTTTTCACAATTTAGTAAAGGATTATAAGCAAATGTCTTTCTTTGCCTCAAAGAATGCGCCTTCTCCCTTCTTTTCCTTCTTCTCGACTTGCTTTGCAAAATACTTGTCATCAAACTTTTCAACATTGTCCAGTTCCAAAAAAAAAAAAAAAACTTTTCAACATTGACGCCAGAGATGTCCACCTTGGTCGAAGTATCAATCAAATAAGATTGATTTACATGTCTAAGAGGAACACCATTAAGCTTGAAAGGTCCCGTAGAAGCAATGGAGAAAATGAGACAGTAATTCAAAAGCTACTCAACAATATCTTACCAAACCAAGTGAAAAAAACACGCCTAATGGAAATCGTAGGGCTGCCCTTGGGAGTGCACAATTCCACTATGGTATTCTTTACCAAACGAGCTTGTACTACCAACAAAATCAAGCAATGGTAATGCTATCTATCAAGAACAGATCAAGAATTGCAATCCTTCCAAATCATATCTTGCATAAGTCATGAACAAGTAAATTTTCCAAGGACCAACCACGGATCTCATGAGAATATGGCAATCAATACAGCCAAGTCATGTCAAACTAATATTTATGCAACAAAGCAACAGTAATCATACTCTATGATTCCACATACACAATTTTATGTGACTAAGCAACACCATTCATAGGATATCCAACATCAAACTATGCAGCATCATATAAACTAACAGGTATTTGCCATCATCAAACCCAAGAACATAAGAGAGAATAAAAATAAAATAAAAACCCACCTTGTAAAAATTAAAAATTAAAAGATACAAATTTAGTACCTTAGGTAGTGATGACGCAGCTCTTGCTTGGAGAAGACATTTTTTAATCTAAAAGTACTATGTATTTACCAACTTGCCATGTTTAGAACAAAAGAAAAAAGATGCAAGCCCTCAAATATTCAATTCCCTACAGGTCTTAAAAAATTCAAAATTCAAACATATGAACCCAAAACAAACATTTGAACAAGTGGAATTAGCTATGGCAAAATCAAAAGATGATAGGCACACTACAACATATAAAAGTTTTAGAGACCAAATGTTTTGGTCTCTAAAAGTGAAAATTTTGTTGTAAAAGACATTTAAAGGCCAATTTCCGTCATCATGAGGATAGTTGCTAAAAGGTCGTCCTGAAAAGTAAAAAATAAGGCATTTAGCGACAAAATTTTGAAAATGTCACTAATAAATAGACTTTTAGGGACAAAATAATTTGGTCTCAAAATGATTTATTTTTTGAGACAAAAAATTTGATCCCAAAAGGATAATAATTCATCACTAATGTCCAATTTTTGTTGCTAAAATTATAATGACGACACTTTTCCAACAAAATTATTTGGTCTCTAAAAAATAATTTTGTCCCTAAATTTTGGTTTCTAAAACCTTAATTTTTTGTAGTGACAATAACTTGAGAGAAGAAATCAACAGAAGTATCACAAATTTAAAACTAATGAGAAGGTGCATTATGTTCTTGTATACAGCTTGTTATTGAGGTGGTTGTTTGTAAGCAGCACATCACCTATTTCTTAGTGCGATGGTTGCATGTAGGACACATGTTAATAGGTGGCTACATGCAAAACCATGTCACTTGCCATTGAATGTTTGCATGAACATCATGTGTCACTAGCTTGTTATGGAGTGGTTGCATTGTATGTCTACCACTAGTCCACTTCTTGTTATTTTCTAATTTTTTGATTTAAAAGTACTTCATAAGGAAGTAACTTCCTTGGCTACTTATATATAGGGTTGTAATTACTCTTTTTAAGGATGTCTTTGAAGAACTGAAACTTAAGATTTTGAGATTTTATTTTAGCCTTACTTTGTTATTTCTTGTGGCTTGGTTTTGAGACCCACAGCTCGTGGAATTTGACCCTTACTTGCTAGATTTTGCATAAATCAA